TCTAAAGAATTTGTGAATTCATTTTTTAAAAATTGGATGGGCAGGATACTACCAACATTGTGTCACTGCAGTGAACTTACAAGCAACCCTACTTCTCATTATCTTCTGACCACTTACTACTCATTAATACGTCTGAGAGTGGGTCAACAGAAGAAATGATGCAGAAAATTATCAATTTTTATTTTTAAGGTAGTTTACAGCTCTTTAAGTTAGATTTCCAGATTACTTGAGTATTGAAATTACCCATGCCCTCCCAGTCTATTATCAAAGCTAAAATAAGAATTAGTTTTACCAAGACTTGAACCCAATATTTGTTAGTTAGATATTAAGAGGAAAAAAGAGGAATAATCTTATTTTAAGGAAAAACAATGGGGATTCTCTTGGGACCCTCAGAGCTAGAATCCTAAGACATTAATTATCTTAACAGTAGCCACAGGGAGAGACAGACTTCTAAACATTTAAATAGTCAGGTACACTTAAAGTCACATGGCGTATACTAGTCTGGGGGAAAAAAGTAGAAGAAAACCACAAGGTGAACTTCAGAGTACATGAATGGATGTGTACCAAGTAGCCAGTAACCTTACTAGGAAAATGGTCACTAATGTAACTAAAGAGAAAGGGCCATAGTGCAAATTGTGACCAGCTTATGTCAATGAGATACACAAAAGTACTTAAAAAATAAAATAAAATCTGCAATTTACTAGAAATGACTAGCTGGTATCTTAGTTTTGGTAGTGCAATAGCACCATTACAGCAAGGGTAAGCAGGTCAATCCCTTGCAAAACTTACCTTGATTGGCCCAATGGAAACAGAAGGCCCCAGAAAAGAGAGAAGCATCTGGCAGTAGCAAATTGTTTTATTTTATCTTTCTGTGGAAAGAAACTAATTTTAAATAAGAACCAGAGCATTTAAAGAATAAATATTTTTTAAAGCTCATTATCTAGTTAGAGCAGCTCTACTAAGAAAACAAGAAGAGCTCCTTGCTGCTTAGAGATGGAAAGAAACAGAAGAGGAATCAAAGTTGTTTCTCCATCACCTAGGGAGTTTTAAAACTTGTGATATTCTAGAGCAGAGGTGAGGAATATCCAGCCCTCAGGCATTATAAAGCCCTGGAAATCATTTGGTCTGGCCCTGCCAAGGCATTAGAGGTGAGTTAATTAAATGTTTGATCAAATATAGCAGGGTAATTTTTAAGTTGATAATTTTGTATGGCCTGCAAATGATGTTATAAATATCCAAATGGCCCTTGGCAGAAAAAGGTTCCCCACCCCTGTTCTAGAGTAACAGAATAAATGATTCTTTTATTTAAAGAACTCCTACAGGCAGAATCTTTGGGCCTTGTGCCTTTGAATAAAGATTTTTATACAAAATTAAGGGCAATATTCCACATAAAAAAAGAAAAGCACCTGACATTAAGCCCCTCTACTCTTAAGGTAGAGAGACACAGAGCAAGCTCCTTCTCCACTACAATTTCACCAATAACTTAAAACCATCAAGGCTTAACTGCTTATCAAAGTAAACTATTAATTAGCAGAAAGTTCATACCTAATTGACTGGCTTTCCAAAATATTTCATTATCCTAAAGTTTTGATGATTTATTGAGATACTCAAATGGAAAGAAGCCAGTCACCAAACTAATTTTAAAAATGAAAGCATTGAAATATTTTTTAAAGCTCATTATCTATTTAAGAGCAGCTTTACTAAGAAATATTAGAACCTAACGGGCATAAAATTATTCACAGTAACTAAACCTGTTACTTTTCTTGAATGCTTCTCTAGGAACTCAGTTCTATTGAATTCACTGAGCCAAATCAAAATCTTTTGATCCAAATCACTCCCACAAAATGTCAGCTTTCAATTTATGCTGGAGATGGAAGGGACAGCTCAAAGCAGGAGTGCAGAAGCAATAAGCATTAAAAGAAAACAACAACACAATAGTGTAAGTGGAAAATGAACTACCTATTTGGCACTGTCCTATTAAGAATCAAATTAGAGTAGAACATACCCACCTCCACACCCCCACACACACATACACAATGAGGAAGCTATTTCTGAAATAAAATTCATTTAAACAGCCAAAGACCTAAACAATTGCAATTTTCAGATTCTATGCATTCACATGGTCCCCCGATAGAAATTATGTTGACTTATCAGATATTTATTCTTAGAGCATTAACTTCAATTGACATACTTGTAGGAAAAAGTCATTAAACTAAAAAGCCTACATTTACAGTGTTACTTTTAAATTAATTTTAAAAAACCACACAACCTCTTAGTTTTGTTGCAGTGAAAGTAGTTGTTTTATACAGAAGACTTCATATATTCAAAATGGTTAGCGTCATGATTCAACATTTCACTTGTTTGAAAACATTACTTCGACATAAACTAATCCTTAAAAAACTACAAGTTTTGACCCAGATTTTGAAATCTTGACACAATAATACAACAGGCAAAAATAAAAGCAAAATAAAACAAAAACATTCTTACTTGTCCCATTGGTGGACCTCCCATTGGGGGCATCATTTGTGGCATCATTCCATGTGGCACAGGAGGCATATTCGCTCTCTGACCCATAGGGTGCATTCCCATTGAGGCATAATGAATGCCAGGATGCCCCATCTGAAAAATAAGGACAATTTAAAAACGAACAAGTAACAATAAATACTTTTCAAAAAATCTGATTTCAACAAATCAGTTAAGTGCAGTGATGTAACATTAGGCTAAAGTGTGATTTAATTATTAGGGTTCGTTTATACGTTATCTTAAACAAAATGCACGTCACCAATACTTATAATGAGCTGTAACTAACCAAATCCCAGAACAATAGGTAAAAAAATAATCATTGCTGGACAGTTAGATCTTAGTTTTAAAGCACGCTGATTTAATCACTTGCTAATTGACTTGCTAAGTTCAGAAGTCTAAAAAAGCCATTTAAAAATTGTTATGAAAACAACTTTGTCCTATATCACACAGATATGACAGACAGCTATTGTTTAAAGCCACTTATTCTTAAATTTATTTCTAAACTGATTTTTAAGCTTTAAAACGCTGAAATTACCAAATTAACTCAGATGAGGGCTGGTCTTATAAAACACAAATAGGGGTATCCAGGGACACCTCACTCCTAAAAAAAATACACATACTACTCTCAAATATAATCTTTAGACGGGTAGAAGTACTTCTGCCAAAAAAAAAAAAAATTCTTATTCCAAAACTGAGGTCTGTCATTCACACGACACGCCAACAACTAATTCACCCATTTTAATGCGCTTTTGTAAGACAACTACCGCCTTTACCTGTGTGTCCATTGGTTCCAAGTCTTAAAACCAGCTAATTATCGCCTGCAAATTCTCCCAGCTGTGCACCCTACAGACACCCCCACCCGCGGGAACACGTCTTGGCGGACTCTTAAAGCCTAGAGAACCCCGTGGCCGCCTTCCCCTCCCTCCTACCTTGGGCCTGCCCCTCCGAGACGCTCACCGCGCTCGGGGCCCAGCACCTCCGCCGCGCATCTGTCTACGCCGGGCCCGCTGGAAACTTCCAGGGTCCCGCATCTTTCCCTTTGTGCATCCCCGCCCTCCATTTCTCTCCTTCGGGGCACGTCCCATCTCGAGCTCTTCCTCCGTTCTCTCTCCTCCTTTTGGAGAAAGCTTCCTGTCTCTGTTTTTCATTGTGCCGCTCCGATCCCTTACCGAGGGCCGTCTCCTCAGGAAGCCGTCAGAAGAGACCCAAGAGCTGGAGCAGAGGCTTGAGCCGGACAATCTCCGCTCCCCGTCCCCAGGACCCTGCGCGGGAGGATGGCTCTCCATTTCACTCACCATGAGGCCTCCACGCTCGGCTCCCGTCCCCGGCCTCATCATCGGGCTCTTACTGCTCCGCCGGCGGCCACTGCCGCTGCATATGCCAACAAGAAGCGATCTGAGTGGCTGGCGCCCGCTGGGGCCAAAGGTTAAAGGCTGCCCGGCACTATGGGGCGGGATCAGCGGGGCCAGTAGGCTGACAGGCTTTCCCGCTGTCCAATCAGAGTGCGCTTCCGACACGCAGCTCTGCGGCGATTCGCCCCCTGCCTCAGGCTCACTCGGCGTCGCCTGCATGGAGGGGGGGATAAGGGGACGGAGGAAGTTTCTGCGCCGAGTCCTCTGCCGGAAAAACTCCACCAACTTCCCCCCGGGAAGGGCAGACAACTGTGTCCCAGCTCTCCGAGATTAGCCCGCCTCACCCCGTAGGGGGTGGGGCAGTGGGGACCTGCCACCTTCACCCCCCCGCCCGACTTACGTATGCCCCACAAACCTGAGGCCGCCAGGGGTAGGGTGGGGTAGGTGGGGTGGGGTAAGAGGCTTCTAGCGTTAGCGGTGGCCCGGGACCGACGCGCGCGCGCGCGGTGCTCGAGGCGGGGGGGGGGGGGGGGGGAGGCCCAAGGAGGGGGGCTAAGGAGAGGGCTCGATCTCCGTACGCACCAGCTGGAGAGCGCGCGCCTGGGCGAGGAGTTGGGGGTGGAGGAGGCGTGTCGAGCTGCGTGGAGGGAAGTTGTGGTAGGGGCGGGAGGAACAATGCCAAAGGAAAAGAGGGATGGGAACTTAAGGCGAGGCGAGAGCGCCGACTGGTGAGCTGTCGTTAGTGAGGGACGCCGGGGAAGGGTGCGAGAGTAGAGGGCAGGAAGGGAGAAAGCAGGCAGGTTCGGGAATGTTAATCGAGGTGCACGAGCGGGCGCTAGGACCGGGCATCGGAAAGATGCAGCTTGGGGGCCGACTGTGCCTTCGCTTGCCTGGAGGTGACGCGGCAGAGGCGGAGGTCTCTGGCCGGGACAAAGCGCCGCAGGGAGGGGAGACCCGACTACTCCCTTCGGCCTCGACTCGCCCCTCTCTGCGCGGTCCCGTTCTTCCCTTCCCTCCTCCCGCCTGGGGGTCGTGCTTCGGCCCAGGGGTGTCCAACCTCTCCTCGAGCCCCATGGCACCTGCCCAGCCCCACCTCGCACGCTT